CATTGGGCTCCCATCAAATGACTATAGCAGCCCAGGTTTACCAAGCCCTTGGCAAGTTCCAGGCATTATGTATCTTAATATCTTAGCTCATGAGAGGCTGCTTCAGAAAGTAGGTACTATCCTGGGCCCATTGTATTAGGTTGGCCAAAAGGTTCGTTTAAGTGTTTCAGTAACATCTTACAGAAAAATCCAAGGAATCTTTTGGCCAACCCAATAAACATGGAGACACAGATGCTCAGAGAGATTATGTAATTTGCCTACCTCACAAGGCAGAGCTGGGTCTCAGCCTGACCCCATAACCATGCTGAAACTCTCACCAGTTAAGTAAGTCAGAAGGCAGCTCTACTTCTTGGAACAGCTTCACTGTTTTTAATAGTGGTAATAACATCACAAGTAAAGCACAGACAACTGTCTTTAAAATTTTTTTGATTTGTAAACTAAACAAACTTGATCTACAAATTACTGAGAAAAGATAAATATGAAGCCATACCATATAATTTCTAGTATTACTACTACTAACTCTAACCTCACCAAAGTTATGTGAAGATGTTCTATGAATACAACAATATAATTTTCTATACCACAAAAAATCTCCCAGTAATCCTTTGGAAATCAGTGTGGGGAACATTTTCTGAGGGCTCTCCAAGACAGACCCAGTTCCTGCCCACAGGAGAGCCTGACATTTCCAAGAACAAACTCTCCACCATCTACTTTTGGGGTTTCTTTGGTGTCTCTGGGCTATAAAACCTAGCAATTTACTTTCCCTCCTGAAGACTAGGATAGAAATAGCCTTAACTTCCTTTTGAAAACCAAAAGTCACAGCTGTTTGAGTAGACAAACCAAGGAGGGTGGGGTCCAGGGAAGAATCTTCTGAAGGGATTTTTCTGGCCAAAGACACAACTTTCACTGGGACCATAACCTCCCAGGACAAGTGAATATGCTGAAGCTGACTGGATACAAACCAAATTCTTCACAAGACTGTTTGACTGCTTCTGGTCTCTAATTTTTGTAACTAAGACACTCAAAACTGAATTTCAACAAGAGAAGTAAGGAAAAGGGAGATCTCTGATTTCTGTTAAATCCTTTTTTTACTACCAGGAGATGCCTTACTCAGTTTAAGAATTAGGCATGCTTGAGATGTTCGTAACCACACTCCAGTCATTCCCAGGCATGCCACCTTTTCTGTTTTGTTTTTTAACAGGGGAACCACATTCTGTTTTAGAGAAAGCAAAAATGTACAGTAATTTCAAAGGAAAGGAAAAAGGGCTGCCATGTCAATAAAACTATACTTAAATAAATATTTTAAGAAGTTCCTTAAAAACCATTTTTTTCCCATTTATGTTAAATTGGAGGATAACTGCTTCACAATGTTGTATTGGTTTCTGCCGCATGACAATGTAAATCAGACATACGTACACCTATGTCCCCTCCCTCTCGAACCTCGCTCCTACCTACTCCCATCCTGCCCCCCAAGGTCGTCACAGAGCACTGGGTTGACCTCCCTGTGTAAAAGCACACGCTCAGTTGCTAAGTCATGTCTGACTCTTTGCAACCCCGTGGACTGTAGCCCGCCAGGCTTCTCTGTCCATAATATTTCCCAGGCAATAATACTGGAGCGGGTTACCATTCCCTTCTCCAGGGGATTTTCCTGACCCAGGGATGGAACCTATGTTTCCTGTGTCTCCTCCATTGACAGGTGGATTCTTTACTGACTGAGCCACCTGGAAAGTACCCACTGTGTAAAAACCATTTTTTAATTAATTAAGAGGTTTAGTAGAATATCCAGAAAACTGCTATTGCAGTAAACAGTTGTGGTTTTTCTCTTGTTTTTGCATTCTCTTAGAAGAGCAGGAACTTAGATCACACAAATCCATGAGTTCCTGCTTCTAAGCCCGCCCTTTCGACATCCTTACATGGTCAGCATTGCTCTCCTCCTCAGGATGTTAAAATCATCTAGCTCAAAATAGGCATATTCAAAAGAAATCTGAAAAAAAAAAAAAGAAAGAAAGAAACCTGGCACAGAGGAGGGCAAAAGTAAAAAGGTCAACACGAAAAAAAACTGTCATGTCACTACAATTTCCAAGCTACAGATCCATTCTCAGAGGTGAATAAAGGGCTGTTTCAATAGAATGGTTGGGGTAGCAACTCTTTTTTTTTTTTTTTCAGTCTGAATTCCTTAAATAAATATCAAGAATCCTTTCTTAAAAGCAGTAACTCTGTCGTATCTTCTGACATCTGGGGAGAACCCAATCCCAGACAGGAATACTGGAGTGGGCTGAACCTGCATCTCCTGCTGGGCAGGCAGATTCTTCACTGCTGAGACACCAGGGAAGCCTGAGCAATAAACTGTGAAATCCAGACAGACACAGTATGAGTGGGCGCACCACCAGTCACTGCAGATAAGGGGCTCCAAAGTGGAAGCCTGAGAGATCCGTGCGCATCAGGGTCATCAGGGAGGGCTTTGAGAAGTTAAGACCTAAGCCCATAGGGATGGCGTGAGAGAAGAGGCGTTCTGCAGCTTAAGAATAAACATGGAGCCTTTGTGGAATGGGGGTGGGCATGGAACTGCATCATAAACAGATGAGACAAACATACATGTGATCTGGAACGTTTCTATCCACTGCCGCTGTAAGCTCCTACTCCCAACAGCTTTCCTTGGTCACTCAAAACAGCTGGACAAATGTAGGTTGCAATTGACAGTACTGGTGGGATAGGATATGGCAGCTAATGCAAGGGCCAGATCTGAAGTTATGACTCCACGGGCTCTCATTAAATAACTCAGGGTCCTTGAGGTGGGGCGTGTAGGCATAGATCTACCCTCTACTATTTCAAAACCTAAAAAGGGAGGACATGCTGACCTAGGGATTATCTAAATGCATGGTTTCATTTTCTCAGAAATCCTTCACTAGGCTGAAGCAGAGTCATGTCTAATTAATGACACACCTAGTGTAACTAGGGCCTGCAGGCCCTCTCTGCCCATAGGAGTCACAGGGACAAGACGCCAGGGCAGCTCTGAGGCCATCTGCCACCCGGATAACAGATACAGGAGCAGGTCAGAAGGAGCAAGCTCTCTTACACAGGCCATCCACCCTTTACGACAGAAACTGGACATGTCAGCATGAAGCCCAAAGTAAAAAAAAGAAAAAAATCAACCAAAATTTTCTAGTCTTGATTAACTATAGGGTGCTGAATTCTCAGCAAAATGTCAACAGTCCCTGAGTGAGAGAACTAAGAGTAACCTAACCTATCCTTGAAGGCAGGAGATATGTGAGAGTTTCTCACTTCAGCAGGATATACTGGGGAATAAGGTACCTCTGGTACACAGACAAATGCTGTAGCCTTCAACGCGTAAGAGACAGGCACCTCCAAACCTACCAGTCTTTCTCTCATCTCACAGACATCAGAAGTGCAGAAATATCTAAGTAATCCAGGTAAAATTCCAAACCCGAATTATGCATTCAAAGTACATTTATTGAACACCTGTCAGGCACTGATACAAGAATCAGAAAAATAAAGAAAGACTAAATCACTCTGAAAGATGGAAGTACAGCTATCCATTATTTCCTTTTATCATACCCAAACACTTAAAGCTCTGGGCAGAAAGTTCTTCTAGTGACCCACTAGCACCAAACAAGTCTCCTTTGCCACCTCTGTGCCCCTGACAAAGGTGAGCCCACCTGGAATGCTCTCACAGTGCTTCACCTACCCAAATCCTCACATCCTTCACATCAGCTCAAGTCCCCATCCTCTTCTCCATCTCATCCCATCCCAAAGTAATGTCTCATTTTTTGAACTACTAACAGTGAGCACCACCATCAGTTTATGTAGAAATGTGTCATTCCCTAATTAATACTTGTATTTATTCAACAAATACTGAGTACTAATTTTGTGACAGCACTGTCCTAGGGAGCTGTAGAAATTGCCGCAAATGGTACTGATTTTTGCCTCCCCAAAAGAACTCCCCGGGAGCATTCTTCTCTTACACGGCTTTTTAATATCTTCCTGTATAGGCCTGGCTTTGTACTCAGTGCTTAATACCTAACAATTTAATAGAGCCTTAGGCTTCTTTGGTCCAAGCTCACTCAAACTGAAGTTACATAAACTAATGGGGAACAAAAGCAAACGAAGCCATTTCTAAGTGAACTTCCACTTCTTAAAAACCTCAAAAGAACAAGGAAGGAAAAGAAAACCGGCTATGAAAGTGCTGCTGAAACATCACATTTTACTCACACTAACAAAGCACCTCCAATTCCCCCTCCAAGCCACACAAAAAACTACCTTTTCCTCTCAATCCTTACAGCTCTAGATTCAAGTGTTTATTTTAACAACAGACCTTGGAAAAGTTTAGACAAGTCTTTCTAACGCTTTATTTTTTGATGAATAAACCCCCTGATGAATCCTGCATCTGCCACTTAACAGACAAATCCAGTGAGGTTCACTACAAGGAACTGGAATTTAAGCTTCAAGCACAAGAGGAGCTCAAAGAAGAACACTTTGAACGTGATAAACCTAGAGACGATTTTAATATAAACAAAAGCCACGTCCTGCAGAGCCTGGTGGAAGGTTCCAAGTTCCCCAAAGAATGGCATCGAGAGCATTTCCTCCAGGGGAACCGCGAGATTCTGCAAGGCGTGGGAGTTTCTGCAGGAGATGAGGGAGATTCAAAATATACTTATTTTTCCTCCTAAAGTGGCTTGTGAGATACAACAGCTGGCACCCGACGGTGAAGCCCGGGCTATGCCATGCGGCGGAGGCTGCCACCTGGGCGGGCACTCCCACCATTCTTCGCAGCCGGGTCAGGACAGGAGACGAGGAGAGTCCGACGCCGCGCGGACCCGCACCGGCACCCCTCGCCCCTCGGGCCGCCTGCCCTCGCCCCGGGAAACCTAGCAAACCCAGCCCGCCAGGGTCTCCGGATTCCCGATCTCTCCGGGGACCCAGGAGACGGGCGGGGGAAGGGGGGTCTCCAAGCAGCTACCCGGACCCGGAGCGTTACCCACCTGAGCAGACTGGACAGGGCATGGCTCGAGGAGCCAAGACCGCCGCCGCCGCCTCCAGAGCCGCCGCCGCCGCCGCTACCGCCTCCAGAGCCGCCGCCGCCGCCGCCGCCCCCGAAGCCTGAGGAGAGCCGCTTCCCGGACAGCAGCTTCTCCACGGCCGGGAGGTGTCCGGTGCGGGCCGCCTCCAGCAGCTCCTGCTCCTTCCCCATCCCCAGGGCCGCCGCCCCCTGGACCCCGTTCCCTGGGCCGCCGCCGAGCCCGTTCTGGCTCCCAAACTTTCCGTCTCCGGGCAACGCACCCCCCGAGCCGGCCGGGGACACCACCCCCCTCCCCCCGCCTTGTCCCTCAGGGGCGCGTCACTTCCGGGATCCGGCGTCACGCGTCACCGCGCCCCCGCGCCCCGCCCCCGTGCCCACCTAGCTGGGCGGGGCCGCGCGGTCCGGCGCAGGTGGCTGCGGTGTACGCCGAGTAGACCCGGCCGCACCCTGATAAGCCTTCCCGGCAGAGGGGCTGTGTCGTGGGGTCACCCGCTGTACAAGTGGAAGGTGACGAGCGCGGTCCACCTGTCCGCGCCCCCCGAAGTGCGCTCCTTCTCCTGATGTTTTGGGAACTCGCAGGGCAGAAAATACGGTAATTCATCCAGGCAGAGTAGAAACAAAGAGAGAAGTGTGGTAACGCGCACCTATATTTGCAAGTCCATTCCTTCTGCACCATAAATATGTCATGGCTGTGGGAACCTAGTGGTAAAAGATGTGAATAAAGTGCCCTCCTCCGCACCTCATGAGGAAAGAGGAGAATTTTAAAAGGGAAATAACCCCCCTTCATGCTCCCAATCCTTGAAATGATTCGTTAAAGCGAAACATTCAAAGGAAAGACTTCCCTTCCTTTAGGATTTGTTTCCTCTTAGTATTTTTTTTTTTACCGCCCTTCCCCTCGCCCCACCATGGAGGACCTTAGCTCCCCCATCGAACCATCGTCCCTGGCAGTGGAAACGCAGAGTTCTAACAAGTGAAAGGCCAGGGAAGCCCCTGTTTCCTCTTAAATTTGACGGATATTAACCAAATTGACATTAAAGGTCAGATTTGTAAAACCGACTCTGAGCTTGAGTACTGGTGAATTGGGAAACATGCACTGGTAGAAACTGCCCGTTTTGTTTCTGGTACTAGGACTGTTCTGGCTCGAAGTAGTTGTGGAGTTAGTAATCAAATTGGATAAATTCAGTCCAAGCCGTACGACTATTTTTTTAGGTGCATGAGGAACAAAAGAGAAATGCTGACAATTCCATGTTAACACAAGCCTCTGTCCAACTGAACGCGTACAAGGTTGAGTTCCTGTCGGCGTTTGCCCGGGAGCTGCTTCCCACAAGGGCGAACAACGGATGGAGTTTTCTCCTGTCCGCAAACTTTCCTCTGAGGAAAGCAGATTAGGAAGGCGTTAACAGGTTGTGCTTTGAGAAGGACGGAAAGGAAAAAGGAGCCTTTCAGTAAACAACAAAGCCCTCCTTTACAAATGCTGGCTTCTCAGGGTGGAAAATCCACAAACTGATTTCTGTACCCTCAACTTTCCCTATCTGCACCAACAAATAAGAAGTAAAACGAAGCCCTGCAACCCTCTGGGCGAGTCTCTAAATGACCCCTCGGAGCAGCGGTCTTGGTGATGTCATCGCAGCGCGACGACCGGAAGTAAGCTGCGGAGCCGCGGGGCTGAGCGGCGTCCTGAGCTCGGGAGTCTTGACTGAGGCGCGATCTCTTCTCCCGGGTTCTAGCCGCGATGGATAATGCCTGCGAATCGCCCACGGAGAAAGGCGGAGAGACCGGGGAATCAGACGAGCCGACGGCGGCTCCTGGGGGCTCCAGGGTTACGGATACGGACGGAATCCCGGAGGAAACGGACGGTGACGGCGACGGGGAATTGAAAGAGGCCGCCGCTGAAGAAGGCGAGGTAGGGAGAGATGTGTCGATGAGGCCGGAGTAGCTTGTGTCACTGCCCGCCCGACAGGCCTCCTGTTTGGTCCCTCCCAAGCTAAGACAGTCAAGCTCACCATAACCCTTTAGATCTGCAGTCGCAGAGTTGGGGTAAGAAAGAAGGGGAAACCTTAGAGCCGTCTGAGTTCTAGAAACTCAACCTTTAGGTCAGTATTTTTAATCACTGCCCTTAGGCGTTAAAGCTGCTTCAAAGAGGGGACTTCTCTAGCGGTCCAGTGGTCAAGACTTCACCTTCCAATGCAGGCTGTACGGGTTTCATCCCTGGTGGGGGAGCGAAGATCCCATATGCCTCGCAGCCAAAAAAACCAAAACATTAAACAGAAGCAATAATGTAACAAATTCAATGAAGACTTTAAAAAGCCACTGCTAAGGGAATTTCAAATAGCCCCTTGGTTTTCCTAGTGAGGAAATTGGGGTCGATGCCAATCGACATTGAAACGGAGGGCAAGAGCTAGAACCCAGGATTCCTAGTACCCCTTTCACCTCAATATGATTTCTGAGTTATTGCTTAAGCATAACTTTCTCATTGTAGGCTGAGTCGTTAAAGGGAGACTTTGCGGTAGTAATTTAGTCATGTTCTCCTCCTCTTGGGACATTTAACTACTACCAGTGACCTGGGTACTAATGTCCAAGGGTTTCTGTAGCACCAAACTGCTATCCCAAGTGTTCAGCAGTGTTGCTTCTCTGAGTGTCAGTCAGAAGATCAGAATCTTAGAGCCTTAGGTAGGTTCCATTTCTAAAAATAGAGTCTTGAGGTCTTGGAACTGTAATTCCTGTTTGAATTTCAGTGTGAGCTTATGGGAGAAGACATTGGCTAAATGGAAACTGCCTTTCAGATCATAAAGTTGCATCAAAATATATAAAATTAAGAACTTTAAGAAAAATGTGACAAAATTACTTTAAGAAGGAACTTTAAAAACAGATCTCAAGGACAGAAAGGATGTGAGTAATAATTAGCTCGGTAAAGAGCTCACTGTATAAAGAAATATGCACGTAGAAGATAAAAAATTTTTGATGCTTCTGAAACACTTTTTTAAATGGATCATATACCAGACCACAAAGAAAAGCATAAATTCTTAAAAGTAAAAATCATAACATTATATTCTGTTAGTACAGTGCAATAGAACCTGAATTTAACAACACAGAATTTCTCCCACTCCCTCCAAAAGACTAACACCTGGACATTTTTAACTAATTTTTAAATAGCTTTGGAATAAAGAAATTAACATCAAATCCTATTGGATTTGATCAAAATTTTATTTAAAGAAAAATTCATTGTCTTACATATTTTTACAAACAGAGATACTGAAAATAAGCACCCACAAGATAAACCAGAAGAATGTAAAAGCAAGGAGTTAATAGGGATAAAAATAGGTATTAATGAGTTAGTGCTTTAAAAACTGTAAGAAACAATAAAATTAAGACCTTATTTGCAGTGTTTATAGGCACTGATTTGGAGATCTTTAAGCTTTAAGACAATTTAATGTTCAAGTTTAGACTAAGTAATTTTGAAAATTCAAGATAAATGGCTCATTTTTAAGGATAATCTAAATTATCAAAATTGAAGCACAGAAAGGTTAGAAAATTTGTATGTATCAGTAACCAGAGAAGAAGTTGAAAAAGTCATTAAAAGATTTACTGCCTTCACTCTCACCTACTTCTCATATTCCCATATGAATTTAAATGTGAGTTCCTCTTTAAGGAAAACAGAAGTCAAATCTCATTAATGAGGTTTGTCATATGCTTAGATTCTATGTTAAGTTGGAGGGGATGAAGTTTGGATTTTGAGGTTTTTTTGCTGTCTTTATTAAACATATGTGAGTAAAACAATGTTAAATGTTTATACAAACAGGGATAAATAATAAGAGACAAACTTCAAAAAATGTTCAGTCTAGGGAATTCCAATGGTTAGGACTCTACACTCACTGCAAGGGGCCCAGTTTCAATCCCAGGTCAGGAAACTAAGATCCCACAAGCTACACAGCAAGGCTAAAAAAATGTTCTCAGTCTAGTAATGGGAAATAAATATTTGCATGATACAGTAGAATGGAAAAGAAGAAAAGAGCACTACATGTGGGAGAAGCTCACTTAAAAGTTCCAAATTCAAAGAAACACTGCTTTGATGAAAAGGTGCCCTTTTTAAAATATTCTTTCCACATGGAATCATCATTGGTAAAGAAATCTATAGGTTTAGACGAAGAAGAGCTGGCTGTATAAAGAGGAGTTTTCTTATATTCCCCTCTAAAGATTGAGGTCAGTGACTTCCCTGGTGGTCCAGTGATTGAAAATCAGGGGATGTGAGTTCCATCCCTGGTTGGGGAAATAAGATCCCACATGTGTGGGAGCAACCAAGCCTGCGTGCCCTGGAGCCCTTGCGCCACAACTAGGGAGTCCGCACCACGTGAAAGATTCCCCAAGCCACAGCTAAGACCCAAGGCAGCCAAATAAATAAAGAATGAGATCAGAAGAGTGGGCTCAAGAAGAGTGTGGTTTTCATGATCCTTGGCATTACTGTGCCCATGTAAACAGATACTGAAAGTAGGATCATAGGTAACCTGGAAAACTGGATTATTTAGCAGCTTTTCTTTCCCCAGCTGGGCTGTAAACTCCTTTAGTAGAGATAGGATATCTTATCTTTGATGGTACAGCCAATGCCTGGAACCAAAAAACTACAGAAATAAGAGAATTTGTTTTGTTGTAATGAGAACGATTTCTTTCTTTACCCAAGTCTGTAAAGTAGGCCGTATATATTAAAGGGTTTCTTTTGTCTTCTTAGCTCAAGAGTCAGGATATCGCGGATTTAACAGCAGTTGAAAGGGAAGACTCATTACTTACTCCTGCAGCCAAAAAACTCAAAATAGATACCAAAGAGAAGAAAGAGAAGAAGCAGAAAGTGGATGAAGATGAGATTCAAAAGATGCAGTAAGTCAGTTTTCTGATCTCTCCCTTTTCAAGGCTCTAAACTGACCATGTAGTTAATACATTTTTCTTGGCCTTAAAATTTTTTACTTTTTTAAACTCAAAAGAAACTAAGGTAATTAATATATCAATATTATGTTATTGTATTGAAAATATAAATAAGTAAAAAGAAAAATATCACTTTGAGTTCAATTCAGTCACTCAGTCATGTCCTACTCTTTGCAACCCCATGGACTGCAGCATGCCAGGCCTCCCTGTCCATTACAAACTCCTGGAGTTTACTCAAACTTAATCCATTGAGTCGATGATGCCATCAACCATCTCAGCCTCTGTTGTCCCCTTCTCCCGCCTTCAATCTTTCCCAGAATCGGGGTCTTTTCAAATGAGACAGTTCTTTGCATCAGGTGACTAAAGTGTTGGAGTTTCAGCTTCATCATCAGTCCTTCCAGTGAATATTCAGGACTGATTTCCTTTAGGATGGACTGGTTAGATCTCCTTGCGGTCCAAGGGACTCTCAAGAGTCTTCTCCAACACCACAGTTCAAAAGCATCAATTCTTCGGTGCTCAGCTTTTCTTATAGTCCAACTCTTACATCCATACATGACTACTGGAAAAACCATAGCCTTGACTAGACGGACCTGTGTTGGAAAAATAGTATCTCTGCTTTTTAATATGTNTACTGCTGAAGCCTGACTTGAAGAATTTTGAGCATTATTGTACTAGCATGTTAGATGATTGCAATTGTGTGGTAGTCTGAGCATTCTTTGGCATTGCCTTTCTTAGGGATTGGAATGAAAACTGACCTTTTTCAGTCCTGTGGCCACTGCTGAGTTTTCCAAATTTTCTGGCATGTTGAGTGCAGCAGTTTCACAGCATCATATTTTAGGATATGAAAATGAAAATATCACTTTACCACCAGAATAAACAGTTAACATTTTTACATATATTCACCAAAATATTTTCTTTACATATATTTATCTGTAAATAAAATTAATTTCAAAGATGTTAAATACTGTTTAAATACTGTTAATACTGTTAAATACTGTAACCTGTTTTCCATATTATACATGGTGAATGTTTTCCATGTCAACAATTATACATCTAGGTCACAATTTTCTTCAAAACGTAAATAGCTTCATTATGTTTTCTGATTGTAAAAATAGTATGCTGCTGCTAAGTCACTTCACTCATGTGAGTTCACTGCAAATAATTCAGAAAATATAGAAAAATAGAAAAAATAATTACTTAGAATCCCACCACCCAGAGTTTACCCAGGGCATATATTTGTGTATATACCTTTTCAGATACAAGTTTAATGTTTGATATATATACATATTTTCAGGTCAGTGAACATGCCCATAAATTGTTGTTTGTAACAGCCGCGTTGTATTGTTAGGTGGATGAACCATAATATAATCCATCTCTGCCGTTGTTTCGTTTCGTTTTGTTTTCTTGTCAGGTTTTAGTGGCATTTTTTTTTTTCATTTATTTTTATTAGTTGGAGGCTAATTACTGTTTTGTTTTTCTTTTGACATTATGATCAACATCTTTGAGTATATCTTTGCATACTTGTCTGTATACTTCCTAAAATAAACTCCTGGAAGTGTAATTGGTAGTTTAAACAATAGGAACAATTTCAAAGGATTTTCATTTGTATTTTCAGATTCCGCAAAAAGGTTGTTCCACCTATACTCTACCAGCATGTATGAATTTGTGTCTTCCCATCCTAACACCATGCTTTTTTAATACTTCTTTATCTGTTTTTTGAAAAATGTTTATCATGTGAAATGTAGTGAGGTAGCATTATGGGGAGAGAGAGCCTATTGCTGAAAACATAATCTATATACTGTGATTCAGTAACCCAACATTGTTGTTTTTGTTCTTAGTGAAGTAAGGAAAGGAACTTACGTTTCACCTGTTGTCAAGTAATAGAAATACTTTCTCTTCATTCCTCATAAATACTAAGCCTAACACTATTGGTCCCTTGAAAAAATTAATTTTTTAAATGTCTGAGACTTGGTTTTATTGACATAATAATATGTATATCTTAAGTATTCGTTGTTATAAGTGAACTTAATTACCTAAATCTTTGTCTAGAATCCTGGTTTCTTCTTTTTCTGAGGAGCAGCTGAACCGTTATGAAATGTATCGCCGGTCAGCTTTCCCTAAGGCAGCCATTAAAAGGGTAAGGATGGACTATCACACTCATTTCCATGAGCACCGAACAGGGCTCAAGAGCTGTATCCACTGACATTTTGAAGTGAAGTGTTAGGCAAGTTGGCGGAACATTTAGGCAGGAAAATAAAAATACATGCCCCTCAATAATCTGACCAGTTGTAGTTTTATATTCTCGACAAATACACCTGAAACCTTGTTTTACTGGTGTCAATTTCAACATCAAGTCTTTAGTGAACTCTTTTAGTGCGGAGCTGTTATGGGTGTTATATTCCAAAGCCAGTCCTTGACTCCCTTAATCAGTCTTTTGTCCTTCTTTCAAGCTGATCCAGTCCATCACAGGCACCTCTGTGTCTCAGAATGTTGTTATTGCTATGTCTGGTATTTCCAAAGTTTTCGTCGGGGAGGTGGTAGAAGAAGGTGAGTGGTATTGGTCTTAATATTGGATTGAACCTGTGGTGGTCTTATTTCTGAGAATATACATACTGAGGGACTTATGAGGTCCCTGGAGTAGTTTCCATTTATACTAGAAGTTGGCCAAGGCGAGAGCCTTATATTCAGGAGAGCATTTATTGAAGACATTATTCCTTGAAAGTTTCAATACCAGGTCTGGAAACACCTAGCAAATCTCCCTTCCTGATTCTTATCCTCAGCCCAGGGTGACAAAAGTAAACTGTATTTTTCTCCAATGGACTTTGTTCATTTCTGCTCCCAAAAGTAGAGATACAAACAAAGTCATCACTGAGGCTGACCAGTGTGGTCTGGTGAGTAGTTGTCCCTGATGTTATGATCCCCTGGGAACTGCTCCCTGTCTGTCAAGTAATGAACCTGGCTGCTACTCACTGCTAATTTCTAGCTGGTGAAGTCTTTATTCTTTCAAGGAGAAGCTGTGTTTTAAACTGTTGCCTGCGATAAAGCCTGCTGTGGGATATCATGCTAAAGCTAAATGATATATTTTATAGCATTCTCTGAAGAAGGGAAATTATCTTGGTTTATTTCTTTAGCACCTTTAAGAGGAATTAATGAGGATTACAGGACTTGAAAGGACTGTGATGAGTAAGCGCTTGTGTGATAACAAAACTCTTCTCCTTGTCCTCTGTTTAGCACTGGATGTGTGTGAGAAGTGGGGAGAAATGCCACCGCTACAACCCAAACACATGAGGGAGGCTGTTCGGAGGTTAAAGTCGAAGGGGCAAATTCCCAACTCAAAGCACAAAAAAATCATCTTCTTCTAGACCAAAGTCTAGCAGGGCCCAGTACTGAAGGAAGAAGTCCAGGCTTCCTATTGCACGAGATTCTCCGCACTGGTGCTTTGGTATCTTAGTCCTCCAAGGATTCCATGATTTTAATGTCTTTCTCAAAACTGATAATTCATTACACCTAGAAGAAGGCATGTACCCTGTTTCATACTTGCCTTGACTAAATATCGGGACCTCTGAGGCATTTAACTGTTACTGGCTAGTTGTAAGAAGAAAGGTTGGTGCACCCTAAGCATCTTCTGGACAGGGATGCTGCTTTCAGAAAGAAAACCTGTTCAAGACGGCTTGACGGTTTCACATTGAAGCCTGAAGTTTATGACTTAGGTTGTTTCTTTACATCTGGTTTTAAGTAAATGAAACAACCAGAAACTTGACTTGTGATACTCTACCATGAAGGACACGGTGACAGCAGAAGCAGTGGAACAGTTTGTCCCTGTAAATGTTTAAGATTCTTCTATGAATTTTGGTGAATGATTAATAAAACTGTTTTCCAACTTGCAGTGTGTGTTTTCTTTTTCTGTCTAGCTGGTTGGAATGGGGAGAAGTTTGCTGGTGTCCAAATAAAACTTGTTTTGGCTCTTCTGTGAAAGTTAGAGCCCTCCCCATTCCTACTAGAACCATTAAGATTGTATCTCATAAGAGAATATTTAAAGCACTTAAAAACAATGTAAAAGCCCATGTGTTTCAATTCCTATCAACAGATATACCAGAACCAGTACTGTTTAATAAGTTTAATTTGCTTTTTTCAGGTGGTTCACAGAACCAGTACACTCAAGGTTTAATTAGATATTGCAACATTAAAAGTTCTCAATACTGACCAATATTCCAGTTCATTGGATACATTCTCATTGTTTTCCTCAAGTAGAGGGGAATGGAGTTACTTTATACTGACAGTGATTAGCAGTAATAAGGCTACTGTAATAAAATTGGCAATGGGCAATCCCCAAGAGTTCTTTCCTATTATTCAGTGCCTTAAGGAGAGGGCTTCTGAAGCTTTTCCCTTGTGAAGCTTTCCTGAGCATGTCAGTAAAGATTCCAATTCTGGTTAGCACCCTGAGTGGGGGAAACAGCTGAGACACACACAGTTGGGCAAATCTGGATTTTAGTGTCTAGCATTAAAACCCATGGCTTTAAACATGTACTTAGCTAGTGGAGAAGACGCTTCAGTGGTGCATTCCACAAAGAAACACTGTAAGACTCAGGTTAAATCTTGACCAAAAACTGCAGGGAAAACCAAATAAATAAAAATACATATCAGCTCCAGAGGAGGCTTTTTAAGTGGTTCAAGGAGCTATACCTATTGCAGTATGAGATACTGGATAAGGCTGAAATTTACAGATACTAAAGTTCACATCCCAAGTATAGCCACTTAGCAAAGCCTCACAGTTTAAGGTTATCTAAGAGTATTTCCCCTTGTATCTGTTGTAAGAGATGGAGATGATAATCCCCATTCAACAACAGCAACTATATGTACCTACCCAGAGGTGAATGGGAATATTCCTACTCTAGCAGGAGGTAGGGGAAGATTCCAGGGAAGGTTATAGTCCCAGAAAGGAGAAGCCATCACAATCACACTAGAATCTCTTGAAGCACAATAATGAGTGGTCAGTCACAAAGCAGTGACACAGCTCTTGCAGTTCTCAAGTAACCAGATGTCATCTTACTAGCTTGTGTAGCAATGCTGTTTCCATCATTTTGTGGTATTACTATTAACTGTTTTTGAAGTTAAGGTAAATATTATATAAGGGAGGGAAGAAAACAAACAAACCTTAAAGGTTTGGAATGGAAAGTTCCTGTATCGCTATGTTCAAACCACCTTCTTTCCACTACACCCTAAACTAGCCTATGGGAAAACTGACCTAAGTGGGTGAAATGGAAGAATTTCAGTTATGTGGTATGTGAGGGCTGCCTTAAGCCTTGTATATTCCAAACACAGAAACCATTCCTTTCAGAACCATGAAAAAGTGTACATAAAGGTGGAGGCCCGTGGCAAAATGAGGGTCAGATTAAATACACAGCAAAATGCAGCCATCGTTAGACTAGAACCCATTTCTTCTTAGGTCTAATAAACTAGCTTAATGATTCCAGTGACTTAAAAACAGAATTTGAGATTGATAACCACCCCTGCAGCTTCGCTGAGAGATTTAAACCAGTCCATGTACACTAAAGCATATCTCCAGTACCTCCTCGTAAACAGGAAATCTAGACAGTCACAGGTAACACAAGGTGTAAACGCTTCACAGCTGACACGCTGACTGCGCTGGTGGAAGTCTCTTGGATAGTGGTGTTTCACTCCAGACATTTTCTTGAGGTATTATTATTTCGTGTTCACAGTCTTAAAGCTCCAAGGCAGAAATCGTCAGCAGTCCAAAGGAGCTGATACTACTATTTCTTTCCTTCCATCCTTTTCATTTATCCTGAGGACTACCAACAAGATCACATTTCTTCATTATGAAAGGTTTTCTTCCCCCAGTGAATAGGAGTATGAAGTTATACAAGATGACTTTCACTAAAATTCCATGGGATGCTGACCCTCTACCATATTTCCTGAGGGAGGAACTTCAAGACAATGGCCAAAGCTGGTCACATAAGGAAATTCAAATTCTAGGGCTACATTTGTCACATGGACAAGAGCGCCAGAGAGCCCAGAAACCTGAGTGAGCTCTGGTTATTAAGGGGTGAGCCTCGGCGCTTGCCAGATTTCTCTTGCCTCCTACTAAGCGCATACTTAAAGTATACCAGGCAATTCTCTGCGTGGAGGGATGGGGAGGGCAGGAAAGCAGGGGAAGGGAAGAGGACCAGAGTGCAATTTTAGACCAATGCAGGTGAACGCTGGGTTGGATAATTCTATCTCCTGGCTACTGGCTCTTCCTCTGTCCCCTCTAAGAACATTAGACACACCACACTGGAGAGGACCAGTGATCCTTTTTGTTCATCATTCTGCCTTTGACAGAAGCACTTAAAGGGGAGTCTGTGGAGGGATGCAGTGGGTAACTCTGTTGTGTATCACCAAATAACCCTAGTTTCCTATAATTCCTTTTGGAAAGTCATCATGCAAGGATTCCTCTTAAACCTTCTGCACCCATACAGTTTCTTACAGCACCACTTCTTGAACAGAGAGCCCTAGGAGTTTCTGATTTGCTACAAGAAGTGCTTGTAGGTGCTAAGGCTGCAAGGGCCAGCCCTAGTATTTTGGGACCCGAAGCACATGTCCTGGATCTTGACTGAATACCTGACCTAACACTACCCTCCGCTTTCATCCTTTTCAGAACTGGAGCTCACATTTTAAAGATGTATACCTCCACCCCTGATGATTTTTGCTGTTCTCTAGACCTTTTCTCCTTTTACCACATACTTTGTAAGTAAGGTCCCTAGAAGTGCACAGATCACTTAAGGCGTTACCACGGTCTTTCATGAGATGCTATTTTCTGCGTTGGCTCCACACGCCCTGCAGCACTCTGATCCCTCTTCCCTCATGGCAATGCTTAGATTTCTTTCCTGAGCTCTTTCCAGAGCTCACTGTCTCAGTGATTGCTGATTCTCCTGTTAGGGCACTGTTTCACACTAACCTACAGAGAATCTCACCTGACACTTTCCTGAGTATTCACAGCCCAGTCTGTGAATCTTCTGCAATTTTTTTTTAATCTCCTCTGGTTTATCTTCACTGCCTGGAAGTAGTGACATTTGACTGTATTGTAATATCCTACTTTCAGGTTATTTATAAAATTCTTAAATAAGGTTAAACCAAGCATCAACCGACAGGGAACTTACCCTGTTAACATTCTCTCAGAAAGATGTTTATTCTTAAGTCTCTCAGTTGTTTCCTAAGCATGAGAGGATATTCCCATAAACTCATAGTAATTGCTGTTTTTAAAATTGTCTTAGTGGAAAATCACAACAAAAAGTCTTTAAAAGTCTGAGCAAATTAGATCTTTCCTTCTTGAATGTATATTTCTTTTTATCATCAAAAAACTAGAATGTACAAGTCAGGCATGATTCCCCATAAAGGAAACCATTTTATCTTTCCTCTAGTAGGTCATGTATGATTAAGACTTTAGTGACACTACTAAATCATCATTTTACCATCTCGCCAATTCAAGGTGAGTTTGCTGATGAACTTCTGTCCAATCAACAGAGCTTGAAGCACAGCACAGAGCAGTATGGATGAAGATAGAGTGTTGGGGAGGAATTAAGTAGGAAAGAAATAGGGGGAAATAACTCAGCAGTCAGGGCAAAACCTAGTTAGGTTGAAGGGTTTTGTGTTTTGTTTTTTTTTTACTTAAAAGTCAAAATAACATGATTTTAAAAAGCCACAGTGATAGAGGCAGGTGAGAGGCAACTAGCTGAGATGTTTATGTTACCGTATAAAACACATTTTCAGTTCTGACACCACCAAGGGCTAAGGAGATTGCTGGTAGGAAGTCATAGTGCTGGAAACGCTGATGTGCCAGGGACCCCAGGGAGACAGGAAAAAACCTGTGAGGGGCAGCTGTGGAAGAGAGACAGGACACGGCTGGCAATAGTGGGTTCAGAAGGAACCAAGCTCTCCTATGATCCCCACCAAGCCATGACCTCAACCTAGCCCAGAGTGAACCGTTTCTTGATTTAAATTTCAAACAAACTGCGTTACAGACGGGAGAGATGATACAAGTGAGCTGCTACTGTTGTTTACTTCCTACCACAGCATCACAACAATGACAGGCATGACAGAGAGGAAGCTTAACCCTGAACAATCTGATTGTAACATCAGCCAAGATGACAGGAGCTTAGTTTCCTTCCCAAACAAGGCAGAATCCATGTCTCACTGATTTCTGTGCCTCCCCTGGCTCCCGCCTTGCTGGCTACTTCCTGTTCCATTCTACTGCCGCGACACTTCTCAGGTCCACTACAGAAATCAAACTCTGAGACACAGAACCTTTGGTGACTCTGTGGGTGACTGACCGAGGAGATGGGGACTCTGCCCTGTTCACACAGGTTGTGGAGCAAGCAAAGGTCTCTGCCATGAAACCAGGCGGTGAAATGACCCTACAGTGTTGAGAAGATTCCACCTAGTGTGCTGAGGGCCAAGAGGACAGGCGAGACGTGATGCCTGAGCCACACACAAAGAGGCCCGGAACGTGGGCATGCTTTGCCCCATCTTCCATCCAAGTCAGGACCGCTAGTAGAAAGGACGCCGCCAGGAGCGAGCTGCGCGCCCCAGCCGGCTTGTCCAGCACTGGGCGAGTCTGTCACAGGTGGTGCGGCTGCTGGTGATCCTCTCTCCTCGGCAAAGACGGCTGAGCCGCTGCTGTCAGAGCTCGAAGAGGGGGTTATACTTCCTAATCTCTTCAAGAAGTTTTTCTTTATCCTGGTTGGCTTGAGCCAATGCTTGTTTAGTTTCTATAAGTTCCTTTTGTAGGGTAGGTAGTTCATTCACCTGAGGAACAACAAAGAATTCATGATGAATCAATAAGGTAACACACCTTGCAAAAACATCCAGTAAGGGAACAAGGAGGGAGAATTTAAGCGGCACAATCCGCAAGTTTGGTCAACGACCAAGAGAACCAGCAAGGTCTTTTCTCAGAGGCTGATCCCCTCTTCAGAGCTCATCAGCTGCAGGGACAACAGCAGGTGGAAGATGTCATCAGCCAGCATTCATCTCTAGCTCCAGACTTCCAGCCTCGGTTCAGCACTTCCAGAAGCTGCTGCTAGATGTCAAGAGCCCAGACCGCCCAGCTGTACCAGCACAAGCAACTTTGTCAGCCCTCTGGGTTTTGCCTACTTCTGTGATTACAGCCCCGAAGGGTTTACAGGAGAGGTACTGTTCAGTTAGGGCCTCACCTGTGGACCAAAAGCCTCCCCGCTGGGCACCAAAAACACCTGTTCTTTGGGGGGCTGCTGCTTCTCACTCTTAGATGCTTTGGCTGATGGTCTGTCTTGAGCAGCCCCTGGAAAAAAGTAAAGGATCTGAATGAAAAACTGCCAGCAACACATGGACTGTTCCTAGTTGTCACCATTTCTTTACAGGAGCAAAAAGGTAGAGAAGCCAGGAGGCTGACGAGCCCAACTCACCGCCTATGTGGAAGACACCATCGTCACTCCGACTCAGCACGGCGTGCTCCACAGACAGAGTGATGGGGATGGGGCCTGGCGAGGTGGGGTAGATGGGGGGGATATCATCCTGCAGGAAAGACAGAAGCTGCGTGAGGCCCCCAACCAACTCAGAGCAGCTTAGGTAACAAGCCATGCTTCCAACCGTGGAGCTGGAAGCACTTTGCCATCACTGTTTATCCATACACTCTAGCGAGGCATGAAAGGCATAGTGAGTCTCTCCCATCCTAGACACAGTGAGACTGACGATCTGCTAACCTGTGGGCTTGCACAGTCATGCTGCATGCCAAAGACCAGGGCTAGAGACAAGGCCCCCCTCACTTAAACCTAGAACTTTCTGCTGGCACTACATACTTGCATACTACTGTAGTACTGAACGCTAACACGCCTTTGCTCACTTGGTCCTCCCCACAAATTTCACAGGGACATGAGAAGAAGTTAACAGCTCTCACTGTTAACAGGGTCAAGGGTCAAGAATCCCTTGCTTGACCAAGTCTAGAGTGAACCCCAAAGTTCTTCTCACCTTTAGAGTGACCCTGGAGTTCAGGAGCTCAATCTGCATGGGAACCACCACTGGGATCTCCTCATCTTCCAAGAAGGGCCCCAGACCACTGAGCACCGAAGTGAGCAGCTCAAGGTCACAGCCCTGAAGCAACAAATGCAGGAAGCCGTTCTGTGTGGCCAGAGGGGAATGAACAGCTGCACCAGGCCCCACCTCAAAGCGAAGGCCCACAGCTGGCCTGATGTGGCCAGTCTGCAAAGTGGAGGAGTCCTGAAAGTTTGTGCCTTTGCGAAGCAAGACAGAAGGAAAAGATATTAATTAATTACCAGCCAGTGACTGCTCTAAGCACTTTAATATATAGTTAATATTCATAATCATTGTGATTATCTGGGTCGTGAAGATCTTTTTTGTAAAGTTCTGTGTATTCTTGCCACCTCTTCTTAATATCTCCTGCTTCTGTTAGGTCCATACCATTTCTGTCCTTTATCGAACCCATCTTTGCATGAAATGTTCCCTTGGTATCTCTAATTTTCTGAAGAGATCTTTCCCATTCAGGTGTTTTCCTCTATTTCTTTACATTGATCACTGAGGAAGGCTTTCTTATCTC